CACACTTGAAGGCGCTCTGGAGAAAAATGCCTCCAAATCTCGGTTAGATTTTCAATTTAGTCTGTATTGTATGGAATATATGTACCCGTACGGGCTTCCACTCCTTTGACTGACGTGGCAGATGAAGAAATCGTATTAAGGCAGTGCGTGCAGTACCGTCAAGAAAACCGTACGGGCTTCCACTCCTTTTCACTATGAAAGACCGGAGGTCGATGGTTCGAGTCATGGTATGCGCGTTTTTCATTTTTTGCGTGAGCTATTTCTCGTTCAGAACAAAGTTGCAATTTATTTAGTCCCATACCGCTTGCCGAACTAAAATTTGGCCGGTTTAAAAGGAGAGCCGCATTATGTGCCTTACAGTTCTCATACATAGACTGATAGCGGAAAGGATGGTATTCAGTCATGCATGCATTCAGCGGGCGTGCTTGTTCCGACTGACCTAGTGTTTGTTTTTATTGCAGTTTACAGGCGTTTTTCATAAACGCCCTCGAAGACACGTCGAGGCGTTCTTCAAAATGCCCTCGTAAGTCATGAGCATCGGAGGCATTTTCAGAAAGTGCCTACATAGGCTGAGCATCGGAGGCATTCTTCAAAAGTGCCTGCATAAGCTTTTCCCTTCGCGATCGTACCTAGCATTTTTCTAAAACGCCGTGTTACATCTCTGCAGGCATTTTTTGGCCTTTCAAAGGCGTTTTTGGATGCCTTCAAATCTCTACCGTGTTGTAGTGCCCATACACTCAAAGAGATAAACTCACACCCACACGGAAACCAACATATTTTTCCCATACACTCTAACTTAACACACACGCGCGCGCGCGCACACACACACATTAATTTGGTTGACAGTTATATTATATATATATATATATATATATATATATATATATATATGTATGTATATATATATATACATATATATATATATATAATATAACTGTTTTAAATAGCCCGAAGCTATAGCACGCTATAGCGTTTACACAAGATCTTGCGCTAAGAGACTTTGGTCCAAACAAATAAACAAACATTTTATAGGACTGCTAAAGTGAACCTGAGCGTGTTGTTTTTATTCTCGGCGCTGCCCGCTCATACGAGTGCGCTCCTGCTGTAAGTAACCGACCAGCCACCAGGTGCTTGCGCCAGTTTCTCCACTATGCCATAACTGATGGTAATAATGGGTCTACTTGTAGTAATACACGCCTGATGCATTACTAGATAGTAATGCTGGATCTATTTATAGTAATATATATACATGATGTATTACTAGCTCGTGGTCTCTCCCCTCCAGGTAGAAATCAATGGTAATATTTGGTCCAGTCATAGTAATTCATTACTAGCATTAGGTCTCTCTCCTCCATCTAAAAATCAATATTAATATTAGGTCCATTTATAGTAATTCATTACTAGCATTAGGTCTCCCCCTCCATGTAAAAATCAATGGTAATATTAGGTCTAGTTATAGTAATTCAAACATGACGCATTACTATCATGGAGTTGTGCATGTACGTGAACATGATGCTTTACTTGGTAATACAAGTAATTTTATTACCATATCCCGACCAGTTTTACTACCAATAATTAGGGTGCGTAGTTGGTAACACAAATTATTCTATTACCATATCCTCAACCCGTATTACTACTAAAGCGTAGTTGGTACCGTACATTATTCTATTACCATATCCTTGACATGTTTTACTACCAACAATTAGGGAGGGTAGTTGCGAGACGTAGGTGAACCTGTGGGATGGTAACGAAATAAATTGCATTACTATTTCTACAGTTGGTTTTACCCTCATTTATTAACGGGAAAGGAGGCCTACTCATGCAGAGCGACCGTGCCTAATTAGGACCGGCGCGCAGGATAAAGAATTTTACGTTCTCGCTCAGTTTAGCGCTGCCGTGTATATATATATATATATATATATATATATATATATATATATATATATATATATATATATATATATGACAATACCCCGCGCGTTGCTGCAGGATGGTAGTGTAATAAACAATTTCAAAGAGAGGGGCATACAGTAAGGAGAAAAAGAGTAAGAAAATAAGAAATATTTTGCTGCAGAAGATGGCTTGGATTTAATTTAACTCTAAAATAGGGTAGTGAGGATGACGCTCTCCCCACGCGTTGATGCGGTAACTTTGCTAAAATTTTCGTAAATAGTCGACAAAAATAATTAGATCTAATGAAAATAAAGTATAAGCTTGAAAATCAAGAAATGAAAGTGTTTAAAACTAGAATAAAACTTTTGAGTTGCAGTTAAAAATGTCATTTCAAATAAAAATTTGAAGGATGACTAAAATGAATATATGATGTGGCAGCGTTACATGCATAGACTAGTACTAAAGTAATTGTAATTTATAAGTTAAATGCATGACTTGCTTATGTGGCAGATTTTGCATGGCTTAGTGGGAGAGAAGACCTAAATGCATTGCTTAGTGGGACATTGAGGTGGACACGTTGCATGTTGAGAGAATTGGGATCAACTTCTTAAGAATGTAGGATTTGGAATGGAAGAAATGAAACCTGGTGGTTGGCTTTTGGTGACATTAAGCAACATGTTGGCGTTCAGAGGCGCCTAACCGACTGTATTGCTAGAGTAGTAGAGTTTTTTATACTCCGTGGGTTACCTTGTTCCCTTCAAAAAAGAGATATCTTGTGGATATTGTGTTGCCTCTACTTGATCAGGTATGTTTGCCTGTGATGTCCTGCAAATGCAGAGGGCTTGATGTAGTTGCTTTTGAGTAGGAATATCAATCACACAAAGAGCTGATGGAGTGGTTGCTTGCGTCTTGTAGAGGTTTATCGTAAAGTGTCTGCAAGTTATCTTAGATTCCAAGCAAAAGTTGTGTCATAGACTCAGAAAATGGCAAAAAAAAAATGTACCATGTAATGGTGAGTGCAAAACAGGCCAAGAAACAAAGCGGCGTGACAGTTTGAATATAGACATGAGAAACTTCCACGGAGGTGGTCTGCTTTCTAAGCAGTTTATGTTACAACTTTTGAGAAGTATTTCCGAAATTTTACTACAGCCTCAAGAGGATATATCATGATGTTTCATATTTTTCTATATTCGTTTGCATTTTTTGAGAATTGAAAACTCCATGTTGGTGGAAGTCTCTGCCACCCGGTGTTGGTATTCACTATCTTTTTGTATAAGGCATAAAAATAGACTAAATACCCCAGATAGGATTGGTCAACCCATATTTACCCACTATCTTATCTACATGCCGTTCAAATATGAGCTATACTGATTAAATGCCTATAAGTGCATTTAATCGCTTCAATATAGAAAAACAAACCCAAAAAGGTACCAAATTTTGACATGTGACATGTAATGTTGTGTGCAAATTGCAGAAAATGTCTCAAGGTTAGCAAACGAAATGACTCAACACTTTGAATGCAAACCTGAGCCATTCCATCTTGTAACCAAGTTCTTATCTTGGAGATGGTTTAGTTTCTAAAAGCATCCTATGTGAGAGCATTTGTGAAGCATTCTAATATTTTTACCACTGTCTCTAGGAGCCCTATCATGACAACATTGCAAGTTTCATCCTTTTCTGGCTTTGTTTCCATGTTTGCGGGGGAGTCATGGCCCTGCTGATGTTTGTAACTCCTTCTTTCTTACCTAAACATAGACTAAGGACCACAGATAGGTTTTTTCAACCCATTTTTAATGAATATTTCATGTACTTGCACTTCAAACCTGGTCATTATACATTGAAGGATCACAGATGCACTTTCATGGCTTAAACATAGGAGATGGAACTTAAAAAGTGTTTTTTTACATGTAACGTGTTTTATTGACAGCAATAAAGCCTTTAGTCCAAAACAAGTTAGGGTAGGCGAGAGATGAAACCCTTAAGATCTCGCGACCAACTCATGATTCTGGCACATGGATAGCAAGCTTTCACGCACCCCTGTCCATAACTAGTTCTTTTTTGGTACTCCAATCCTTCGGATCTCTCTTTACGGACTCCTCCCATGTCAAATATGGTTTACCCCGACCTCTCTTGAGATTATCCGCACGCTTTAGCTGCCCGCTATGCACTGGAGCTTCTGGATGCCTACGCTGAATATGCCCAAACCATCTCAGATGATGTTGGAGAAGCTTCTCTTCGTGTGGCCACACATCCATCTTAACATTCGCATCTCTGCCACACCTAACTGTAGAACATGTCGCATTTTAGTCAGCCAAAACTCAGCGTCATACATCATTGTGGGTCAAACCACCGTCATGTGGAACTTGCCTTTTAGCTTTTGTGTCACTCTCTTGTCACGGAGAATGGCAAAAACTTGGCGCCACTTCATCCATCCGGCCACATAGAGTTTTATTTTTGCGTTTCATGATCGACCTCCCAGGTATGAAACCAAACTGATTTTCGTGTTTTATTTTACGATGAGCAAATTTTCAACGATGCCTTGAGTAAGGAATTTTTGTTGCCGAGTGTTAAATATCGAGTAGGTGGGGAACAGTTTCCACATTTTATAAAAGGAAAATAAATATGTTTGCCAAGTGCACTCAGCATAGCCACGGATTCGGGCTTTCGTTTTTGTGAAAAAGGTAGTGCGCTTCTGCTTGGTTTGTGAAGAAAAAGAATTACATACATTAATCCTTAATTATGGGATTTGTCATATACTAATAACTCTTGGTTGGTGGGTAAGAAGATGGGAGTACAAAGTCAGTTTCTGGATAGCCCGCAATAAAGAGAAGTGGTGCAGATTTTGTCTTTTGATTGCATTGTTCAGCTTTGTTTGTCCGATCTGATTGTAAGCTTGCATGTGTATGTGTGTAGTACAAATAGCAATTGCGGCTATAAATACGCACGATCCACACACTGAAATGCCAGGCCTAATCACAATTCACAAGTAGTCGATCCGATGTTGTGAACCCTTTTTTCCATATATACGTACTCTACGTGGTAGCTTGATTAGCACACTATATATACTATACTAGTCACTACGTACGTCCCTACTCGAGTAAGCTAGCATGGCGATGGGTATCCCGCCACTAGTTGATGTGGTATCGCCACTCGACCCCGAGGAATTCGCCGTGGAGTCGCGCGCTGCGGTTGACTTCATCGCGGGCTACTACCGCGATATCGAGAAGTATCCGGTCCGGTCAGAAGCCGAGCCAGGTAGCCTTCGCAGGCTTCTATCCGATGAGGCACCGGAAAACGGCGAGCCCATGGATGGAATACTGGCGGACGTACAACAATACATCGTGCCAGGACTGACACACTTCCAGAGCCCCAACTTCTTTGCCTACTACCCATTCAACGCCAGCACGGCGGGGTTCGTCGGCGAGGTCCTCTGTGCCGGTCTCAACGTTGCACCGTTCACATGGGTTGCCTCGCCTCTGGCGACCGAACTTGAAGGCGTCATGATGGACTGGATAGGCAAGCTGATGGGCCTTCCAGACTGTTTCCTCTTCTCCGGCGGCGGTGGTGGGGTGCTGCACGGAAGCACCTGCGAAGCCGTGATATGCACGCTTGTCGCCGCACGCGATCGAGCGTTGAACAGGCTCACCCATGAAGGCATCCTCAAAATGGTGGTCTACGCCTCAGACCAGAGCCATAGCACCTTCCAAAAGGGTGCGAAGCTGGTCGGAATTCCACCATCAAACTTCCGAGTCATCCAGATGTCGGCGGCATCCAGCTACGGCCTAACGGTGGACAGTGTCCGCAACGCGGTCGAGGCTGACATAGCCAGGGGCCTTGTGCCACTCTACCTGTGTGCAACAGTTGGGACGACCGGTGTGGGAGCGGTTGATCCGGTGGGTGAGCTTGGTGAGTTGGCACAACACTACGGAATCTGGCTACATGTTGATGCTGCATACGCCGGTAGCGCGTTGATCTGCCCCGAGTTCCAGGATTGCATCCAGGGTGTCGGGCTCGCGGACTCCGTGAGCATGAACCCGCATAAGTGGTTCCTCACCAACATGGACTGTTGCTGCCTGTGGGTTACCAGCCCAGCCGTGCTTACCTCCGCACTCTCTATCACTCCAGAGTACCTCAATGATATCAGCCATGGAAGTGTGGCCAAGACGGATATGAATATGATCGATTACAAGGACTGGCAGATTGCATTGACACGCAGGTTCCGAGCCATAAAGTTGTGGGTGGTGCTACGCAGATACGGCGCTGTGGGCTTACGAGCGAACATCAGGAGGCATGTCGAGATGGCCAAGTGGTTTGAATTGGCGTTGAAGGCAGACGATCGATTCGAGGTCATTGTGCCGAGGAGATTCTCCCTTGTGTGCTTCCGCTTCCGCCCAAGGTATGATGAGGGTGACCACACAGTGGACGCCTTGAACCGTAAGCTCCTCAATGCGGTGAACGCGAGTGGGAAAGCCTTCATGATACACACTATCGTGGACAACAAGTTCGTTATCCGTCTGGCAATAGGTGCTACCATGACGGAGATGCGACACATCCGTGACACCTGTGAGCTGGTTCAGGAGAAAGCCACGGAAATAGGACAGGACCGTGACTAGTATACTAAGTACTACACATGATATCCCGTGCCTCTGCGTTGTTGCACAATCAGTCATATACTTAGTGATTAAAATAACCACATAAAATAAAGGATACTGTAACTGCATGCAGTGTATCTAGTAAAAATAAGCTTTAAATAGCAGGCATCGATCGCTTTGTCAGTTTGGCTTGAGCATATAGGGGGTCTAAAGAAATGTAACCGTGTATTCAAGAAAATAAATTATTTAGTATGATCTTGTTGCAACTGCTGTCGTCGGTCTTTTCTAGTGCCGAGTGTATTTCATTGGCCAATCAGCAAACATGATATCTGCTGAGTGTCTCAGGAAAAACACTCGGCAAAAAAACTACTAGCCAAATCGGTTGTTTGCCTAATGTTTACACTCAGACAAATAAAAACACTAGGCAAAAGGTGGTCTTAGCCAAGTGTTTTTTGGAAAAGTTTTATTCTTCCTTTCAAATCTTCTTCTTTTTCTTTTGATTCATTTGTTTCATCTATAAAGAAGACAAACAAAGTCTCAAAAACATGAAACTTGGTATAGTGTCATGATTCATCGTTTGACCTTCAAAACATTTCTGCACTCAACATATGCCATTGGATATTCACTATCAAAATTCAGCATTTTTGTGTTTGGTTTCCTATTTTAAGCCATTAAATGAATTTCTTGGCATCATCTTATATTTACTAATTAGAAGCACAAATGGAGCCTCCATGTTAATCCTAGGAAACTAATCATATTGTCCATCCGATCGCCTTATTAACTATCTATAGCTGTCTGATGCATCAGGAGTCCTAACCTGCCATCCCACCTAATTTACTAAAAAAAACTAATTCACCCTAAGATCTACGTGTTAACCGAGTTTAACCATTGGATATGTATTACCTAGGCCATACTTACAATCCTCCTTCAACAGGTAATCCCCCCACCGGCACATCTGACCTCTCACGTATCTCATCTGCATACCCTCCTCAAGGTCCAACGATGCTGCAACATGTCTGAAGCAAAACTATGATCCAATCTAGGTACTCTCTAATCCCCTTCCCCTCCAACTTCTGAATGTCAACACTCCCCGTTAGGCAATACATATACGTCAACACTCCCCCTCACGTATGGCTCCCTCAAGCCTAAACGTGGACCGAAAGTGGACAGCAATTTAATTGCGCCAGCCGGGTCTTGAACTCAAGACCTCTTAGCTCTGATACCATATAGAAGTGCATGCTCCAGCCAATGCAACCAAAACACCGATCTGGTGGAAGAGACTAGTGGCAATACATCCATACATCAACACACATCAATCTGGCGGCACAACAATTTGCATGTTGCACTGCCATTGTTCTCTAGTGGAAGGGGTTGCGGGAAGGGTGGGTACGAAGGAGGATGAAGGAGCTACTGTCGACGGTAGAGGGACGACGGACTGTGTCGAGCCGCGGAATCCTTGACTTTCAAGTTTCATACTGGATGGCCTTGAGGCGGAAGTGCAGCCTCGACTGGACTGGACGCCCTCCCATGCGGGACTATATGCTGTCCTTTCCAATAGCCAACTAGAGCGGCTGCATGATGTGGGCGTTGGATTTGACTTCATTAGGCACGGCTTCATGATGTTTCCTCTAATCAAGACTACATGCACGGCTGCATGGCCGGCGTGTAGGCATGTACACTACATGCTTAGCTTGATTCGGCCGTTGGATCCATGACAAGCTAGCTTTTCGACTAGCCAGAAAGGAAGGAGGAACCACACACACGTATTACAGCCTGTGCTATTTGATTTCCTCGGCCGGCTCGACTGATGATTTTGTCTAGCAAGACATGCTTCGGTGCACTGCAAGCAGGCGAGCAAATTCAAGGTACGCGCCTTATTTTCTCGCCTTCTATTCCTTTGTCTCGGCTCTGCACGTATAGCATAGATATTTATAATGTGATGCAAATAAAGGTACAAATAGGCTTCCACATGGATAAGAACATGAATGATATGGTTTTGTTATAATATGTTTGTAATAGTTTTGATTTAGTCAGATGCTTTCTAAGTAGTGTTAAGTAGTAAAGATTAGAGCAGAGTTTTGTTGCTTTTCTGGCTGCTTGATTTCTCTGTCATAAAAAGAAGAGGGAAGCGAACATGCTTTTTACATTGCAGATGATAGAGGAATAACACTTGGCTAATATAAATGAAATTACACAATAAAGTGTTTCATGACTGTGTAGCTTATATCATCCGCATTTTTTGTTTCTATATTTTTATGTACAAGACCTTTTGTTCACCTAGAAACGAAAAAAGGATAACTAACTACAGTATGAAATTCCCCCAACTATGGCACACATTCATGTCTTCCCTTTCAGATACTTTAAGTTTGATAAGAAGTATCAATCATTAATCCGATGCTTAATCTTTTTTTTATTATGGAACAACTCCAGTCCATTCTAATTCTTGCTTCTTTTTATCAGGGAGGAAAAGGGGGGCAGAGTACTACATGTAAAATCTTCGAATATCATGTTGATCTATTCTGCTTCTAGATTTACGGATTTCTTATATTAGTTGATCCGACAATGTAAGTATTTAATAGAATCTTCTATATATAGTGTCCGACATTAACTGAACTTTACCAGCTTCCTTTGTTGTATGTAATTACGATAGTGTTGAAGACTACCATTGAAGATTTTGACTTCGGGTACATGTAGTAGTTCCTCTGTATGTTTTGTACTCAAATTTCATCTATGGTTGATTCTTCACACCTACATGCTTATTTCAAAATCACATTTCTGCTTTTAAAAACTAGAGGACCTTTTGGACATTACTGAATGGTTAAAACTTTCGGCACATTACATAATTATTTGATGTTGGTGGCCTCAATGACCACGGCCGCCGGCGAGTCACCCGCCAATGATGGATAACGGGTGGGGCTCGAGCATATGCTCGAATTTAACTCCAGGAAACAACCGGAACTCTCAATAGTTAAAGTCTGGGACAACCCATATCGGTAACATGAGGCTCTCAGACATAGAACTGGCCGCACTTCATCGATTTGAACCAAGACCGAACTTCGTGGGCGGTGACCTGGCGATGGGGGTTCCAGGTTGCCGCCGCGAGCCGAGCAGCCAGAGCAGTGTTTGGGCTTCTCTCGCACCGGTTATGGCTCCGGTGGGGCTCAGTTTAGGGAAGGAGGGCGCACGCCGGGTTGAAGCGTGCCCGGCGGTGGGAATGCCAGACTCCCCACCTAAGGTCGACAAATGTCTAGGGGGATGGACCTGCTCGCCTTGTACTTGTGCCACTTCCACGCCGTCGCCGGGTGTTCTCTCTGCATAAGTTTTGTTGATGGATAAAAGAAAATTAAGGCAGTGTTTGGTTACAGGGACTAGACTAAAAAAAGTCCCTTTAAGTCGCTATGTAACCAAACAGGAGGGACTAAATTCTACATGGACTAAAAAAAGACTCTAGTGGAGGGTCTTTTTCCTTTAGTCCGTGGGACTAAAAAAAGTCTAGTCCCTTACAACCAAACACCCCCTAACTTGCACAGTACGTACCATTATTATGGCTTGACGAGCATTGCAAGAAATGAGGACAATAGATTGATTTACCCAGATATATTACCAGAGGTTTCTCCTGTCTCCATGTAATGGTGGTTGTACGTGCTGCATTGTTTCTTAAGAATACGCATGTACCATTCCAATACTGCGGGTGATGGTGGTGCGCTACCATCTGCGAATACTGCAGGAGGTGTAGAAGAGGAGCTGCGTATAACACACTTTCTTGCTCCCATCACAGTAGGGTCCATCGCTTATAGGTTAATCAAATCGATATGTTTCCTACTTACTCCCTCTTTTTTTTTAGTCTGCATATAAGATTTGATCAAAATCAAACTCTATAAAGTTTGACCAACTTTGTAGAAAAAAATATCAACATCTACAATATTAAAAGTTATATGGTATGAAAATTAATTTCATGATGCATCTAACATTATTGATTTCATATTGTGAATCTTGATATTTTTTTCTATAAACAAACTTAATCAAAGTTAACAAAGTTTGACTTTGGCCAAATCTTATATGCAAACTAAAAAGAAACGGAGTGAGTACTTGGGAGCTCCATTGACTGAGTTAACAAAGTTTTTCACGCGCGCGTTTTAGGTGGATCTGCTGAAAACTGAAGCGGAATCGATAGACACTTGATAATAAAAGAAATTGCCACTTGCATGTGAAAGTATCGTCGGTCAGTTTGCTATGGAGCTTTGGGAAACTTCGTGGAAGGAACCCTCGACGCATATAAGTATGCACGTTGACTTTTTTTTTAGGGTCAAATACTGCCGCTTTATTGGCTTATTATACGAAGCTAGGAATCTCGTCCGCTACAATACCCAGAATACAGTCCGGGAGAACAGCAAACCACACTTTACACAGTTCATCGCTTAAACCTACTTTAGCTAATTTGTCCGCGGCAGAATTTGCACTACGCCTTACCCATGACACTTTTACTTCTTGGAACATCTTCATTCTCTCCTTGATCTCCTCCACCAGGGTCCAGCTGCTGAAAGTATTTTCTCCTTCGTACTCAACATGTTGGCTAGAGTAGCACAATCCGTCTCCAATATGACTTTTGTAGTATTAAGTTCGGCTGCCACCTGAAGTGCCCTCTTGCATGCATAAATTTCAGCAACCTCCGGGTCAGCGACACCCTGAAAGAAATGGCAGGTAGACGCTCTAAACGCTCCTGAGTGATCCCGTAAAACAGCGCCTACACCACACTTTGCACCTTGCTTGTATACTGCACCATCAAAATTTGCCTTGATCCAGCCCTCATCCGGTGGAACCCAGCTTTGTTTTATCTCCGGCTTGTGCAGCTTTTGTCTATCTCCATGAAACGCCCTCCACTCATTGACATATGTCAGCACCGAGTTCACTAATTCATGTGGTTCAGAGATCTTCTTTCCTTCCCTTGTTTCATTCCTGGCTAGCCAAAGTCCATATATCACTTGAATCATTATCTCCTTCTCATCCTCCCATGCATCAGA